TCAGGTGATGTAAAAAATCTCTACAAACACCTGTAAACACATGTCGAGAAGTTGACGAAAGAAGACAAACTGATTGTCCTCAGCGCCTTCAATACCCGCTTCGGCACAGACAACGTCGACTGGCAGGGCGTGCTTGATCGTCACCGAGTCGGTGCGCCAAGTGCCCTGCCATAGAAGGCTTCCGATTGAGGCCCAAATTCAGTCCACACAGTCTGCCCAGTTAGGTGTGTGTACGGAGTGGCGGACTGGTGGGCCGAGAGCCAGGCCGTCACGGATCCGTCTTAACTAGTCTGTAACAATCTCACGCATTTGCGGTGTGTGCGTTTGACGCCGCCATCATCCGTCTGCCTCAAGTGGAGACCAACGCCGACCTCGACCTCCTGCCACCTCTCCAAGAAACCACCAGGTCCGTGCAGCTCTCCGGCTGGAAAGCGCCAGGATCGAACGCGATTTCTGCTGAGATCCACAAGCACGGTGCCCCCCAACTCATAGACCATCTGACGACGCTCTTCCAGGAGATGTGGTGTCAAGGAGAAGTTCCGCAGGATTTCAAGGACGCCATAATCGTCCACCTCTAGAAGCAGGAAGGTAATCGCCAGCTCGGCGACAATCACCGAGGCATCTCCCCGTTAATCATCGCAGAGAAAGTATTCGTTCACATCCTTTCCAACCGTCTGAACAACCATCTGGAACAGGGCTTTTTGCCGGAAAGCCAGTGCGACTTCCGCTATCATCACGGAACCAGGGGCGTGATCTTCGCCGCCCAACAAATGCAGGAGAAGTGTCAGAAGATGCGGACCCTCATCTACTTTACCTTCGTGGGTCGGACAAAAGCCTTCGATACGGTGAATCGCGAAGGACTGTGGAAAATCATGCAGAGATTTGGCCGTTCTGAATGGTTCAATTAGATGGTGTGTCAGCTCCACTATGGCATGATGGCGCGGGTTACCGACAATGGAGCCGTCTCAGAGGCACTTGCAGTGGCCAACGTAGTGAAGCACGGTTGTGTTCTCCCGTCTACCCTCTTCAGTCTCATGTTCTCCGCCCCGCTGATGGACACCTATCGTGACGAACGCCCTGGGATCCGCATCGTCTACAGGACGGACGGCCACCTCCTCAATCAACGGCGGATGCACTTCCAATCGCGCGTGTCCACAACCACTGTCCATGAACTTCTCTTCGCCGACGACTGCGCCCTCAACACCACCTCGGAAGAAGACATTCAACGGAGCGTGGACCTCTTTTCCGCCGCCTGCGAAATCTTCGGTCTGGTCATAAACACGGAGAAGACGGTGGTCATACACCAACCGCCGCCCAAGACAGCCCACAATGCGCCGCAAATCAGCGTGAACGTAACCCAACTGCAAGTGGTGGACAGCTTCACGTATCTGGGAAGCACCCTCTCCTGCAGCACCAAAATCGACGACTAAGTGGCCCGCCACGTTTCGAAAACCAGCCAGGCCTTCGGCCGTCTGCAGAACAACATCTCGAACCGTCACGGTCTCCACCTCAACAAGAAGCTGAAGATGTACATGGAGCGGAGACCTGGAAGGTCTACAAGAAGCAGGCGCGAAGGCTCAATCTATTCCACGCCAGCTGTCTTCGGCTGATACTGAAGCTGAGATGGCAGGACCGGATCCCCGACACTGACGTTCTAAAGCGGACGGGAATTCTCAGCATCTACACCATGCTGCGACAACTGGAGCTGCGTTGGAGCGGCCATCTCGTGCGGATTGACAACGAGCGGCTACCCAAACAACTCTTCTATGGAGATGTTGCCATGGGTTCCCGCCGCCAAGGGGGCCAAATCCGTCGATACAAGGATACTTTGAAGACCTCTCTGAAGTGTCTGCAGATCAACCCGGCCAAATGGGAAGACCTCACTCGAGACCAACCTGGAGGAGGACAGTGAAGACAGACGCGGCAATCTTCGAAGTCAACCGCATAACCACCGCGAAAGCCAATCGAGAAGCCCGCAAATCTCAGCTGCGCTCACCTCGCAATGCCAACGCACAACCGCTTCCAACGTGTCCACGGTGCCAGCGGACATTCTGGGCGCCAAATGGGCTTGTTGGACACCTTCGGACCAACTTCAGCACCCAGAGTGCACCAACCGTCACCCCTCCGTCCACCTCTCCCTTGTCTTCTGCGCCCTCAACTAAATCTGACCGCCCTTCGCCCAATACGCAACGCCGCCGCACAACCTCTCCCTACGTGTCCTCGATGTCAGCGGACATTCCGGGCACGAATCGGACTTGTTGGACATCTCCGAACCAACTGCACCTCTCGAACTGCTCCAGCCATCGTCCCCCCGCCCGCCTCTTCCTCCTCTCTTCCGCCAACTAACTCTGACACTCCTTCTGCACCACCACTTCCATCCTCCTCCTTCTCCTCCACTGCCTCAGCGGCGGCCGTTCAGACTGCCGTTTCACACATCACCAACCCCGACACAATAACCGCCACCACCCCCACCTCTCCCGATTCCAGTGATGAGGATCAGGACTACACCTGCCCTCACTGCGACCACACCTTCACCTTTCGCATCGGCCTGGTCGGTCACTCGCGAATCCATCGCACAGAGACTGGCGAACCAGTGCCTGGAGCACCAACCTACACTCACCGCACTCGCCTCCACTGTCCACACTGCCCACGCACCTTCACGCGTCGTATGGGTCTATTCGGCCACATGCGCATCCACGAGAGCGGAATTGACCGCCGCCTTGACACACCCACCCCACCGAGCCCCACTCCCAATCCATCACCCTGTGCACCCACTAACCACTCCCCAGCCGACATCGACGCCACCGACCTTACCACCCCTCACTCCTCCCCTTCCTCCTCCTCCTCTTCCTCCTTCACTGCCACAACGAAGGCCACTCCGGCGTCTATAGCGCATGACTTCACCACAGCCGCACCTGACACAACAACAGGCACAACCCCTGCAACCTCCATCATCAGACATGAGGGCCAGGACTACATCTGCCCCCACTGCGATCGCACCTTCACCTCACGCATCGGCCTGGTCGGTCACTTGCGAATCCATCGCACAGAGACTGGCGAACCAGTGCCTGGAGCATCAACCTAAACCCACCGCACTCGCCTCCACTGCCCACACTGCCCTCGCACCTTCACGCATCGCATGGGTCTATTCGGCCACATGCGCATCCACGACGACCTGCGGTAGACAGCCGCCGGTCACACCACACATTCCCTCACTCCCTACCTCCTAACACCATCACCCAACCAGACATCAACCCCCACACACCTCATGCACTCAACTGCCGCCTCCCACGCAAGTGGGAAGTGTGCATCTCGACTCGGTCCCCATGCGGCTTCGGCTGCACGGGCGACTTGTGTCCGAGACTATCCCGACACGCCAAGTGTCGTGGATAGGAAGGTTGCTGATTGAGGCCCGCTCTCGGTTCACGCAGTTCGTCACGTTGTGTGTGTTGTGTGTAGTGGCGGACTGGTGGGCTGGGGATGGGCTGAAGCAGCACCTTCCACGGCCCTCTCACGCAAGTGGGAGACACGCCGTTCTACCCCCGTTGTGTGAAATCCTGGTGTTTGTGTGTATGGGGGGCCAGGTCGTGCTGTGGCGCGCGCAGGCATGGTCAGTCGACCATGTCAGCCACCGCGCCCATTCCCAACTCCAGTCTGCTGACCGGCTCGGACAGCGGCTGGGGTCTGGGAGTGGGAAGGGAGAGTGAGGTCGACGACTCAGCGCACTTTCTCCTCACTATAAACAATCTGACGCGCTTGAAGCTATCACCGTGCGCTAAAAGCCGTGGCATGGAAGGTTGCCAACTGACGGGGTAACTTGGACCTCCTCCTTGACCGGAGGCGGCCTGAGAGTCCGGCTGCAATGGCTCCTTTTTAATGTGGCCTTTGTGGCACTCCCATCACAGTGTGGGCTTCCGAGCCAGGCGTTGGCGGCACGCCCAGGAGCGGCTTCGGCCGTGCCAGCCTCCTAATCTCTGTTGTGATTGGTTGAAATCCTGGTCATTTGTTGTTTGGACCAGGGAGTGTGGTGGAACGCCAAGGTGAGGATCCGTCCGAGCCATCAACCTGCGACCTCCCTCGTCTCCGGTCTTCTTGACTCTGTCTTGACACCGGGCTCGGGCGAGGGAGGAGGAGAGAGTGTAGGTAGATGCTACGCAAGTCTACCGGCACTACAAACCCCTGCGTAAGTCACCGTCCCTGCTCCCATTGCTTCTGCAACTGTGGGGCCCACGGTGGACATCATCGAAACCGATGGTCGAGCTGTGTGTGTGTATGTGTTGCTGTTCACGCAGTCCTGGAAGGATGCAGGGCAGTGAAGTGGTGTCAGTAGCCCTTCTGTCTGTATGTACGTGTGCGTTGTGCTGCTGCTGTTGCCAGTCCCAGTGCATGCGTTCGCGCTGATGTTAGCGCCTATGCGTGCACTACTGCATGTGTGAACTGCGACCCCCCCCAAACAGACCGCGTGGTAGATGCGCTGGACCAACACGTGGATCATATCGGATTATGGCAGGCGTTATCGGATTGCGCATCATAACAAATGCCAACATTTAGGGATGCGTTGGCAGACCTGGTTGTGGGCAGTCGTCACGCACACTGGGACCCCTGCCATTCCCCCATCTTTGCTGTTGATCAAAACCTGGTTATTCTGCTGTGTGGACCAGGGGGTGTGGAATGGAACGCCAAGGTGCGGGCTTGACCGTGCCATCCGCCTGTGCCCTCGCCCGCCTCCAGTATTCTTGACTCTGTCCTGACGCCGGGTGGAGGTGGGGGAGATGGGGGGGGGGGGTGCGGTAGATTCAGCGCAATTCTACTATCACTATAATTCACGTGCAAGTCACCGTGCCTGCTGCACCTTGCTGTGTGCTACATGATGAAAATCGTCGGAATCGACTGTCGAACTGTCGTGTGTGTGTGTGTGCGTTTCATGGTTAGTGCCTTCCGGCCGACGACTGTTTAGTTACCTAGCCTTGAAGGGTAACGGCCCAGGCATACGCAGGGCCACGTGCCACCCTTCTGAGCCTAAAGGTCTACTATGCCCGTATCAGCAAACCGTGACCCTCTCAGCCTGGTATGCGCTGGCAGTTCCCGACACTTGGTTCCCCGTCGGTAGATGTGCTTGCGCTGCCGCTGCGTATGCAGGTCGTGTGCATGGCTACCTAGTCATCTTCGTCAACTTTCTGATCCGTTGAGGTGCCGTTGTTGGTTAAAATCCTGGTAAAGCGTTTGCAGTGAAGCAGAATTAGTGGTGGTACACCTAGATGCGGATCCGGCCGTGCGGTTACCTGCGCCCTACCTCCGGTCCTCTTGACTACGTCTTGACACCGGGCTCGGGTAGGGAGGAAAGAGTGAAGCAGATGCAGCGCATGAACACACTCACTAGAAAATAATTCACGCGCAAGTCACCGTGCCTGCTTCAACTTGCTGTAGAGAACACGGTGGACGTTGTCGGATGCGACGGTCGAACTGACAGCTGCAACAGCAATGGTCTCCTCCTCATGCATACCTGCACGGAATACGGTCTTCTCCCGATCGGCACCTTCTTCTGCTTTCCAAGTAGGGAGGAGACGACGTGAATGAATTCTCGCTCGAGTCAATGGCGGCTGCTGGGTTACTTATTTGTCCGGAGGCGTGACCAGCTGGACGCGCTAGTGACAAGAGCGGTGGTTTGTATCGACTGCTGAACGGATCATCGCCTTTTTATTTCCAAGATGAGGCTCCAACTGCAATCCCGCAGGCGACCGCAAGCCAACATCAGGTAAGTTAAATACTGCACAACTTGATAGGGCTGAACGCTATTTTATTTTAGCAGCTGCATGAACGCCAACCTGAAACAACTGCAAACGCCGGAGGCAGTGTGTTGTGGGCTGTTGTACCGACCGCCGCTTCGTCATCTTCACTAGGAGGCCAAAAATGTAAAGCCGCAAGCTACGACGACGCAAGAAGTAATCAGGTAGGTAAAATGCTGTATTAGTTGACGCGGCTGAGTTCCGACTGTATTTTAGTCAGCGCGTGCCACTCGACCCGTTGCAGCTTTAAGACCTAACGGAAAAAAACTACTCTTCGGACTCAGTGGCGCACAGTAACTGATTCAGGACGGGTTTGGTGATACCGACGAAGCACTCTGTCAGACTCTCGGAGAAAAAGAGGCTGGAGGACTGCGCCACTTCTGAGTCCAGATGGAGAACCCCAACTGACGGAGGTCACAGATCCTCGAGCGCTGGGCTGCGTAATTTCGGGGCGTCTAAAACCACTCGTCCACGGTTCCCGAAGAAACCAGCAACCGCATCCTCAAATGAACACCGATGACGACCTTGACCCGTCGTCTTACCCTCAAAAGACAATCAAAGCAATGCATTAACTGTCAATCAGGAAAAAACCGGGACCCGACGCAAGCTTAACCGGTGTTTAAGAGAACAACGACTAACAACTCCGGAAAAGCTAACTTCACGGCTCCAGGAGATGTGGCTATAGGTACACATACTCAGCATCCCGAGCACATAATCGCTATGCACATAGATAAACACAGGGGTACTGGCAGTTCTGTGATAACCACAAAGGCGTCTCCTTTCTCAACATCGCAAGTCAATCAGCTAAACTTAGAAACAGAGTTCGAGAATCTCTGAAGTCAGACCTACGATCTAAAGCCGATTTCCACGTCCAAAACTTTAAATTAAACAATGGTCAATGGCAGTCATTAATATCTGGACAAAAGCACGACAAGTCTGGGACTGCTGGCAAAGCTCACATACAGAAGTTAAAGCAGCTGAGAGGTAACAGAGACCAGATAAAGGGACAGACGTAGTTATAATGAAAAGATCAGATTATGCGTCCAAAACACGGTCCACTTTGTCGGACCAGAGGAAATTCCAGAAGGCGGACAAAGAAAAAGACTACATGGACGGAGTGGAGGCATAACTGACCGACTGCCTACGCAGACTACATGCAGGAGGCCTCATAAGCGACAGCGAACTCAAAAACCTCCGCCCAGGAGGCACATAATCCCTTCAGTATCAGTATCAGGGTATTTCAGGGAAGGAAGGTGTTTACCTTTGAAATTCCTATCGGTTACATGCAGAGGAAGTATATGGAGAAAATGGAAACGAAGCAACATGAAAGAAATACAAGGTGAATAACAAAAACTGTACAGGTGAATACAGAATTTCATGCGTTAACAGCATTTAAAGGCATATGAATTTGGTTTATTGATTAAATACAGCAGACAGTTGAAGCACACCTATGATACAGGAAAATAAGTAAAAAAATTTAGGCTGCGGACATCGTGGTGAATGCAAGCAGCGGTGTGAGACGTCGTTCACAATTAATAAATTACTCAGACATCTGTTACTTTAATATTGGTAGTAGCATCAATCGTCAATGCCGGCTATTAAGGTGGCTGTAGTCCGGCGTTATTGTGGTGCGCGCTCCAATGGTGATCTTGCCTCCGTTTAAAAGTTTCTACGGATCCGGACATATCGACATCCTCAGGCAAAGCATCCCAAGCTCCAATCACTCTGTTGGAGAAGAAGAACTTTCGTGAGTCTAGCCGGACACCAGTCACGCAGTTTGAGTGGATGGCCACTCAGGTTAATCGTAGTTGCCAACTCTAAGAAGTCTCCTGATGCGAGGCAGCAGCTCTGATTGTGCACGATGAAGAAGGCTTGTATCAGGTTCCCACGTAGCTTTCTGTAACTTGAAGGAAAGAGGTCAAGATTAGCTAATCGTGTTTCGTAGGGTAGTGACCTCTGTCCAGATACAAGTTTCATTGGTCGGCGTTGAACTTTTTCGAGTATGCCGAGGTATTTAGCGGTCCATGGTCTCCATACTTGGATAGCAAACTCCAGATGAGGTCGCACAAAAGTTCGAAAGGCCTTGGCGAAGCAGTATTCATGAAAGGAAGAGAAGGCCCGTTAGACGAGGTATAGAATGAACATCACCAACTTGACTACCTTTGAACATTGTAGTTGTGATCCATACGCCCAAGTCCTTCTGGGCGACAACTTCTCGCAGTGGTTTGTCAGCCAGACGGTAGACCGTGTGGTTAGGAGAAATGGTTCCGCCGGCGCGTAGGAAGTTACACTTGTTTACGTTGAACGGTAGAAGGCAGTCTTTTGACCATTGCTCGAGGCGGTCTAGATTTGTCGACAGTCGCGCCTCATCAACTTCGTTTCGTATGGTATTCAAGATCTTTATGTCATCAGCAAACATTGAGACATCACAATCCAGTTCGTTTGCACAGTCGCTGACGCATACGAGGAACAGAGTAGGGCCAAGAACAGAGCCCTGGGGAGCACCACTCCTAACGGCAACTTCGGCAACCTGCTGGTCTCTGACGTGGACGGCTGGAGAGCGGCCGAGTAAAAAGCCTTGAATCCACATCAAAAGCTTACCTCACACTCCTATATGGCTGATTTTGTATAGAAGGCGGTGGTGAGGCACCCTGTCGAAGGCCTTTTTAAAGTCAATATAGATGACATGCACCATATCTCCTCTATCAACAGCCCGAGTCCAGTGTTCCAGACAGTAGAGCAAGTTTATCCCATAGGACTTGCCTTTTCGGAATCCATGCTGGGAATCGGAAAGCAGATGGTTTTGTTCAAGGAACTGCATTAATTGTTGCTTTATTATTTTCTCCATAATCTTGCAGCAAATGGAGGTGAGGCTGACAGGTCTGTAATCGTTCGCAGAGACCCGACTTCCGCCCTTGTATAGCGGCGTAATCCACGCCGACTTCCAGTCGGGTGGCAGATATCCGGTCTCGAAGGATGTATGGAAAACCATGGAGAGTGGTTTAGCCAACTCACCGGCGAGTTCCTTCAAAATCCTCGTCGGAATCCTATCGGGACCTGGTGATTTTGATTCCTTCAGTTTCATCAACTCCGTCTGAACCATGCCCTCAGTGAACTGAACGGTCTCCATAATTGTGGTGTCTTCGAAGGGTTGAAGAGCCGAAGGTTTGAATCCTGTCTCACCACTAAAAACAGACCGAAAAACTCTGAAAGGTGAGCAGCTTTCGCTCCGTCTTCAGTGAGATGTTCGACTTCAGCAGTCCTTAGCAGTGGTATTGGGTCCTTGTTCCGCGTGCACTGCCTTATGTAGCCGTAGAATAATTTATGGTTCTCTGCTGCACGGTTAAGCAGATCCCGTTCGAATTCCCTTCTATTTTTGAGAATAAGGCCCTTGACTCGATTTCTTTGAACTTTGTACGCACATATAGATGTGGGGCTCTTGTGAGAAAGCGATTTTTCCCACGGCCTTCGCTTTTTATTCACTTCTTTCTTCAAGTCTTGCGTAAGCCAGTGTAAGCGGACAGTGGTTTGCGATCAGATTGTGCGGCATTTCTCGGAACCGTTGCCAGTCAGACATGCTTCCAACAAATACGGATTTCCAATCGATGCGTGGAATTTGAGCCCTCATTTGGTCGAAATCCCCCGCCAAGGGTTTCTTCTAACTGCAATGGGTCTCTCGGGCATGGAAAAGGCGAGTAATCCCATAGAAGAATGACGTGGTAACGTTTACCTAAGGGGGGTAGGCATGAAACCTCATCAATGCTGTCCTGTGATTTCGTAAGGACAAGATCAAGGCAGTTGACCTGTTGGCCTTCGCGTACTCTAGTTGGAAATGTGAAATGTTGAGTGAGAAATAACTTCAGTGCCTTGTTCAGAAAACTCCCATCGAAGGTCCGTTCTAAGGTATTTGCATGGGCGAGCTCCAGTCAATATGAGGCGCGTTAAGGTCGGCCATGGTCAGGATATCCGACCGCGTAGCGAACTTTTCGAGTTCCTCCAGCAGGCGAGCGTCGGCCATGTTCTCCCGTCTCGGCGGTCAATAAACTGTCAGAACATCGAGACTAGGCGAGCTCGGCACTTTAATGGGCAGCCAGATTGCCTTGGAAGTACATGAGGATTTATCGATTTTGTCGGATACATTTATCCCACTTTTCACATACGTGATTACGCCTCCTCCCTGACGCCCTTCCCTATCCCTTCTAAACATCTGGTAGCCAGGCAGGGTCAACTCACGGTCGTCCACGTGTTGATTCAACCAGGTTTCTGTTAAAGAGATCACGTCAGGGGATAGATAACAGAGGTGGATCTTCAGCTCGTCGAACTTTGATGTCAAACTCTACACGTTGGTGTACAAGAATTTCAATTTCTGACTGACGGAAGATTTGCTTACGTTTTGGTGAGCGCCTTCACTTAATATGTCGGCTGCGCGGTCATTCGGACTGGACCTGTCTAAAGGAAGAGTAACGGACGCCGCCTTGTTTTTCATATATAACTAAATTGTCCTCCCCCTCGTGGAGCCTCTTTCGGAGTTCTAGTTGACGACGTTTCAGCCGTTCTGCTGGCGAGTGGTCCGGTTGAAAAGACACCTGGGTTGGGGCCTTTAATCCTAAATCGCCTAGGCACACAATCCCTTGATTGTATGGTCTACCGAAGATCCACAAGAACGGCCTACCATTCCGTCCGATCTTGGACATGTGTAACCCTCCTTATCCTGAGATAGCGAAGTGGTTACCGGAGGAATCCAAGCCTGTACATTATCGGCTAGCACCACATAGCTATTAGGATACCTTCGAATTCATTGACGACGTTAAAGACCTAAACCTAAACGGTATCGTGATGTTTTCACCTGATGTCTCATCACTCTTCACAAACGTTCCGGTCACAGAGACAGTCGAGTACATATGTACCTATGTGGATTCCTGTCAACCAACCACCAATAAATAGGTATTCCGACGAACGCACCCAAGGAACTATTACTAAAATGCACACAAAATGTTCAGTTCCTTTTTGACAACCAAACATATCGATAAATGGACGGAGTTGCCATGGGATCGCCTCTTGGTCCTCTCCTAGCCGATTTCTTCATAAGCAAGCTGGAGAAGTTCCAGTAAAACGACCAAATCAATAAGCTAAGGCACTACGGTCGCTACATTGATGACATCTTTACAATCGCCACCAGGGCAACCAAATTAACCACCCACTTGGATGGTGTAAATCAAGTACACTCGTCGATCAGGTTTAGGTTGGAGGTGGAAACGGCAGGCTCCTTGCCTTTCCTAGACGTCCTTCTAAGCAGAAGGGTTGACGGCAGAATTTGGAGAAGCGTCTATTGAAAGGACACCTGGTCCGGGCGATGTACGGACCTCTATGGTTTCGTACTCCTTCAACAGAAAAGTAATCTTGTCCGCTGTTTGGCGCAAAGGGCTAGAAAAATCTGTTGGACAGATAGAGGTCATAGGGAACTTAGAAGGATCCAGGACCTGCTTCGCGTATCCTGACAAATTTATTATAAGGAATCTTACCGAACGATCGACAAATCTCACCATACCGACGGCGGAAAAGATAACTGTTCCTCAAAGTCCCCTTTCAAGGGGACGCGGCAGGTGAATACCTGAGAAAGCGCCTTGATCAAGCCGTTTCACGAACCTTCCCGGTAGCAAGAGCTCAAGTATTGTTCTCGACCAAACCCGTCTTACGCGGGGAAGTTAAGGATAGGCTACCAGCTCAGACCAACTCCATGTGCATCTATTCATTTACTTGCTCCTGTGAAGCAAACTACATTGTTCGCAAGAGTCGGCGCCTATCCACAAGAATACGAGAACACCTGTCGGCATGGCTGAGGAAAGGTGAAGGTTAGAGAATACACAGCTCTATCCTCGCAAACCTACTTGATTCTGAGCATCGCGTAGATCCCAACGAAGCCTTCTGTGTGATTTACAAGGTCCTGCCTAAATACCATAAGCGACTGAGTCAGCGTATACACGTAACAGCGGAGACGACTGCCATCAGGCTACGGAGGTCGGTCCCATGCGCGCAGAACATCTTGCAGGCTCCGCATCTACAGTGGGCAAAGATAGATTAACTGTATGCATGTCTCCGCGCCCCCGTCCATCCCCCTTGTGACACGGCTCTACCTAACCCTCGCTGTTACTTATTGCCTCCCCTCTCTCCCTGCCCCCAATTCACGCTCCCCACTTGTATGAAAAGACGAATCGTAATCGATTTCTCTTATCGCTCACACGTTTTACTGCGTACCTCGTTCACGTATAAATGTATTGATCCGATGAGGATTTATCGAAAGCACGCGGATGCTCAGCAAGAGCTCTTTTGAATTGGTCCATGGGAAATTTCGAAACTTCAAAGCAAGCTAAATTGTCGGAACATGCCTCGGCAGCAGGAACTCTTGCTAGCAACAGAATACAGGTCCCGAAAACACCGTGAAACCACAGACAGGAACTTTTCGGGTTGCCAACTGCCCAGCAAGTGCCTGTAAATGTGGACCAAGCAATGGGTCTACCCATCTTCGTGTCGATACCAGCAAAGATGCGAATTGCAGGAACAATTTGATCAGAAGAAGAAGCAATCGCTGGAACAAGAGCTTTATTCGCCTGACGTTTCGGATTCTCACTTGAATCCATCATCAGAGACAGTGGCAGGAAAGGGTGACTCGTTCACAGGAAGTTGCAGTAGTTATAGGATGCAGTCGCTATGCTACTGTATACCTATAGCAATTAACTGCGCTCCCCTTCATCAAGGATTGTTGCCTTCTGGTGCGCTAAATGCTTGATGGCCGGCATGCAAGTTGTTAATTGCCGAAATGTCATCATCCGTGTTGGATGCTGGCGTGATGACGGCTCGGCCATCTGGCTCACCGGCTTGTGCGCTCCCCGAGTGGTCAATTACCTTGGCCAGCCTATGCCTCAGCACGGAATATGGAGTGGGGATGTCGTTGGACTTGTTGATCGACTGAGGTCCCGTGAACCATGACTCAAGCAACTCGCGGCTCACGCGATTATCTCCTTTCGCGAGAATTTCGGCCTCATCGAACTTGAATGTGTGGCCGGGTCTCGTCAAATGGGCCGCGACCTGAGTGTTGGCGTCATTTCTCCGTACCGCTGCCGCGTGTTCGGCAATTCGCGCTGGGAGCCGTCTTCCAGTCTCTCCGACGTAGTTGCTTTGTCCGCAACTGCACCAGATCCGGTAAAGACTCCAGATGTTTCTTGCCGTGGCAGTGAGTCTTTTGGTCTCATCACCTGACGCCTCATGTTGGCCTCCAGTCTGTGTGCAATTCCAACCCCAAGTGGTGCAGAAGGCGGCTAACGGCATTTGGAGACGTTCTTGATGTACGGGATCGCTCGCCAGAATTTCGGGCCGGCACGGTTTTGTCGCTCGTCTCGCTTGGGCATACACCGGTTGAAGAAGATGCGCGGGTAACCATTTTCTCTGAAAACCCGTCGAAAATATTGGGATTCGCCAACCTTGCATTCCGCTATATTAGTATAAATATAATTACGCATGCAAGTTGAAGGTAGGATGTACGGTGTTCAATTTTGTACCAGCCATCGTCTGTTTACCTTGGAGATGGAGCAGCAAACCCAACCTCAGAGATAACTCGAGGTTTGGAATGCGCCGAGGGGATCGAACACCGCCCCGCTGAAGAAGACTGATCCTGGACAACCAGGAGCTTGCAAGAAGGGTAAAACGTTGCAACAATTATTCTGATTTCAGGTCTAAAGGTCTGAAAGCGTGCGCTATACCGGTATCAGCGAGCCATGGTCCTCACAGCCTGACATGCGCTGGCAGTTACCTGACACTTGGTTCCCTGCCGGTAGATGCGCTTGCGCTCCTGCTGGGTATACAGGTTGTGGGCTTGGCTGCCCAGTCAGCCTCGTCCTCCTGACCCCTATTGGGGGTGTTGTTGCTGTTGGTGGTGAAAAATCCGGGTCAAGTGTATGTTTTGGACCAGGGGGTGTGGTGGCACGTCTGGGTGCTGGTCTGACCATGCCAGCCACCTGCGCCCTCCCTCGCCTCCGGTCTTGACTATATCTTGACAACGGGAGAGGCGGAGAGAGTGCGGTGGATGCTGCGCAGGTCCACTATCACTATAAACTAATTCACGCACAAGTCACC